GAGGGGATTGGTTAGAGCCTTCAAGGAATTCCAGAGTCCAGGTAATAGGCTGTGGTGACCAACGCAAGTCTGTTCTCAGAGTGACATCTGCCCAAACAGCTTTTGGATCTCATGAAAGACCTTTGTTTATTCAAACAAAGCCTGTGGGATGGAGATGTGGCTCAGGGCAGAGCTATTGCCTGGTATGCTGAGGGCCTTGGGTTCGACTCCCAGCACTAGAGAAAGAAGGGATTTATTTTACTTTTTACCCAAACAAGAAATTAGGAGGATAAAAAGGGATGAGAGATGTGCAACAGTAAACGATGAATACTACCATGGGTATAGTGATCACCCGATCAGTGGAGGAGGCTTTCTGAATTTCCTCCTGTCACTTGTAAAACACACATGCATAATTATGTTCCACATTTAAAATTTTCATTCCTTTTTATTTGCCTGGCCAAAACAAACAAACAAACGAACAAAAAAACCAAGTTGAAATTAAGAACTCTGCAGATGGACTGCAGGTTAAAATGCAATGGACCTGGCAAGCATCAAACTCACAAAGCCAAACAGTCTGGAAAAGTCTGAGAATAACAGGGCTCTGCTGTGCTTTGTGTTTCAAGCTGCACTCATGAGATGAGCGGGGTACACCTCTCTTGATGTGCACTGGAGAAAAACTGCCCAAGAGATATTGTGTCCTCTGAGGTCCCACGTGCACAAGGGGCCAGACCAGGGAGAGGACCGAGTGTCCCGCCTCCGGTCCTCAAGTTGCACACAGTCCCCTCCCCATCTCTGTGGCTTCTCCTGTTTCCCTGTCATCGGTAACACAAGTGGCTTCCCTATCATATTCTGGAGACATCTATGACACCAGTCCCCATGAAATGTGAGTGAACAAGACCAGTGAGCTTTTACGAAACGTGTTCGGTCCTCTTTCCCGATCTCTAAGCTCTGCACTGATTGAAGACCTGCCATGTATGGGCATGTTTGTCTTCACAGCTGCTCCAGACTTTACTGTGCAATGACACGTGTGCTTTTCAAGTCAGAAGCTCTGGGCCTCAGAAGTTTCTCTAAGTTTGAGCTAAGCCTTCTCTGCAGAACAATAAACAAAGTGAAGCCCCTTTGCACAGGATCTGAGGCTGTGAACAGCTGGTGTGCCAGGCAGGACGGTCCTTCGGGAGGACCTGATTTATGTTGGCTGCGTCGGCTTCCTCATTTTGGACATATTTGGTTTAAGGAATGTGAGGAATTTGCAAGCTGAGCAAGGTTATGTATTCCGCTTTCTCACCAGGCTCCTTGCCACTGAAGTATGTTTCTAAAAAACAAATTCCCTCAGCAGGATTTGGGGCAAAAGCAGCATACGCTTGAAAGGAATAGTTTAAAAAGGAAACAAATCCTCCCAGAAAATGCACCATCCTATGCCGGAATACAGAATCTGGCTCAGAGTTTGAGAAAGAGGCATCTGCATTTACTACCACAACTTGTAACAAAATCCTAGAACCACATCATTCCCCCTGTCTTTCACACCAGTGACACAGGAGAAAGGATGATGGGACAAAGCAACATGAGTGTATACTTCATGTTGTCCCATTTTACTGATGTGAAAACTGCGGGGTCGCAGAAAGTAAACTATCTGGTCAAATTGGAATCGCAGATGGCAGATCAGCAATTTACAACCAACTCTTTTGATATAACAAGGCTGAGTGTGTCCAGGTTATTCTATCCTGTCCTGAGACACTGACCAACTATGCACCTGTCACTCTAAGTGTAACTCTTCCATTTGGTGAAATATCATTTTGCACTGAGGTGGAGTTAAGAATACATAAATGAATGGGCCGGGGATTTAGCTCAGCGGCATAAATGTCTATTTGGCAAGTGCGAGGTCATGAGTTCGATCCCCAGTACAAAAAAAAAAAAAATACATAAATAAGAACAGGTTAATAGTTTGTCAAAATCAAACAAGTAATTTTCTAATTTGCCAACAACCTTGAACACTCTCCTAACATTCTTCAGAGTAAAACTCGCAGGTGATAACATATAGAAAGCTGGATTTTTCTCCTGTTTAATTTACTTTGCTCACCTCTTTAAGGAAAAAAAATTATGATTAGATGTACTGTATGGGAATGAGCCCTAAAGCACTGAGTTAATTTAGGTTCTTTTAACACTGAAGGCCAAATCCAAGGGGAAAATAAAATGGAACCATGGCACCATCTAGTGATGAAACTGTTGCTTTGCAAGAAAAGCACTTCGTGAACCTGAATGTTCATTACATTGGCCAGGAGAATTCTGGTGGCACCTACTGAACTAAAATCAAAAAGGTCCAAAGATTTCAACAGTAAAACAGAAACACTGAGCCGTCTGGAAGATAAAGTAATAAAACTGAACAATTACGCATATTCAAAGTTTCTGATGAGAACCCTAACTGCACCAAAAATATTTTTTAAAATCAACAAATAGGATTATATCATATTAAAAAGCCTCTGCACAGCAAAGGAAACAATCAACAGAGTGAAGAAAAAAAACCTAAAGAACGGAAAGAAAATTTTCCAGCTACACCTCCAACAGAGGACTAGTACCTAAATTATTTTTTAAAACCTCAAGAAATTAGATGTCCGAAAATAAAAGATCTAATAAAAAAATGGGCCACGTGCCCATTTTCTGGGTTACTTCTCAGAAATACCAATTATCAGTAACTGTATGAAAAACTGTTCAACGTGGCTGGCCATTGGGGAAATGCACATTAAAACAAGTCTGAGATTCCACCTTGCGCTGGAAAGAATGGCCATCATCAAGAAATCAAATCAATGCTGGGGAAAAGTGGGGAAATTGGGGGGGAAGGGGAACCCATCTACATTTTTGATGGAAGTGTAAAAGCCAGCACAATCACTATAGAATGCAGGATGAAGATTCCTCAAAAAACTAAAACCAGAATTCCACTTGACCTCGTTATTCTACTAGGTATCTTTCCAAGAGATAAAGACATCCTATTACATTGACGCATGTGTACCCAAGTTTATAGCAGCACAATTCAAGATGGCTAAATTTTGGAAGCGGCCAATCTACCAACAGATGAATGGATAAGGGAAATGTATTTGTACATAATGGAGCACCACTCTGCTATAAAGGATAAATCTGAGTCATCTGTGGGAAAACAGATACACCTTGAGACCATAATGTTAAGTGACTTATGTATGCTTGGTCTTACATGAGTTCAACTGTACATAAAAGAACAAAATAAGATAGATATAGGAAATGGAGCTAGACCGCTTGCAAACAAGGGGGTGGTGGGAGAAGGGGACACAAAGAATCAAGTGTCGTGTATATGTACCAACTCCCCACAAGGAGCGCAATCTTTACGTATCACAAATGCCTACTAATACAAAGTGTCTGGCGGCAGTGAGAAATGATGAACACACAAGCAGGAGTGGGACAGAGTAAGCCTTGGTTAGGTGCTGAAGCAAACTCAATGTCTACTCATGAAAGATGTGCTCCATGCCCTTTCCGTTCCTCTGTGAATACCAAAACTTAGGTGCTATTTTATGGCATCAAAAAATTCCAAGTATGCATAACTTCAACTCAGTACCATTAAGTTCCTAGTCAGTAACTTGAGATATTTTCCTCCTGTAAGTCTGACAGGATGTTTGCTACCATAAAGCTGTTTAAAATCCAGCTATCTTTCCAAATTTCCTTTGCCTCTGTTAAGGTTTGGATTCAAAATGTCCCCAACAGCCATGAGATAAAGGTTTGGTTGCCAGCTGATGGACTTTTTGGATGTGACTGGATAGTTAGGGCTCTACCTTCATCACGTGGATTAATTCACGATGAGATTCTAAATCCATGATGGAAAAAGGAGATGCACCTTAGCAAGGAAAGAACGCCAGGGGTGACCCTGGGAACCGTCTCTGCCCCTCAGCTCCCCTTGTCTGGCTTCTGGCTCCCTCCCTCCCTGCTTCCTGTGTCCTGTGAGCTGAACAGCCCTCCTCTGCCATGGTGCACTGTTTCCCCACGACCCCGAAATAAGGCAGCCAGCTGACCACGGACTGAACCCTCCAAAACCAGCCACCAAAATAAGGCCCACTTCCTCTAGCTCTTTTTCTCAAGTATTTGGTCAGAGCAATGAGGCTGAAACTTTGGTCTTTCCTAACTAGGTAGCGAGTGTGAAATTTAATGCGATTTCTCAGTATTCATCAAGCATCAAAGGACCCAGTGATAGTTTACTTAGCACAAAAACATGTACTGCAAGAGCCAAAAATAAGATAGAAATCTTTGTGATCTCAAGATTTAAATTGTGGCCAAAAATGTAGTTGTTTTATAATTCTTGGTGGAATTTAAAAGTTACCTGGAAAGAAAGAAAAATAATTTCAATTTGATTACAGAAACTAAATGTCAGTGTTGATGCATGCAGTTTTATGATTCAATCCCCGGACCCCTCCCCGCCAAAATGGGAAGCTGTTTTGATTGCAGCAGGGTTGCTACAGTTTCCAGGCGCTGGCCGTCAGCTCATCTCCCAGCGGTCAGGAACCTCACTCAGAAATCCCTAGCAAAAATCCCGAGTATGTGTAACTTTGACAACTCAAATTACGAGTTGATAACTGAACAACTCTGTTACGTCACCCTGTCCTTATATGATACCTCATTCTAGGTAAGAGAAACTGTTCTGTAACCAACTCAGCAGAGTGGAGGAAACACAGTAACAGCAGAAAAACCCAGCTCAGCAGTGAGCTATGTGACATTAGGAGATTTCCCACCACACATGCATTATCTACAGAGGGGGTGAAAGAGACCACTTGAAGGGTTAGTCAGTGCCGAAGGGTACGTACGAAATACCTACCAGATTTAGGCACTCAAGAATGGTGGGGCATCGTTACTGAAGTGATAGCACATTTCTTAATACAGCATGCGGCTCAGGATGGGTCCTAGGTCAACCTAGAAATATGGCCCACTAGACATTAGACCTCCAAAGTCCATAGGGAAACTTGGCCCAGAAAAAAAACCAACAGGCAGAAAAGACATTTGAATCTACCATGAGTAGAGACGCTACATCGCCAAGAGTCACACACTCTGAAAAGCTTTTTAAAGACAGGTTTATTTATATATAAGTGCATGAAATTGAATACAGAAACTTTATTAAAATACTGTATATTACAAATTTTTAATCCAATAAATTCTGTGTAATGACATTTAAGTGCTGGATTCACTTTTAACAGATGTTCTGTGTGTTATCAACAAAGAGTTCACCCTGTACATTACAAAGAGAGCCACATATGGACCTCAGAAATGGTCCGTGATCAGACAGCGGATGATGGTAATTGTGCATCTTTTCTTTAAAGCAATGAATTGAAACCTAAATCTTATCGTTAGACCAACTTTTCATAATCAAAAATAACTTGCATATGTTTATTGCTGCCCTGTGAAGAAAACGAGAGTGGTGAAAAATAATTTAAGTAAAGACCAACATTTCTAAGGCTAATCTGATACTTACTGCAATTAAAATACTTAAAATTCACTGCAAAATGTTCTCCGGGAAATTATGCTATATACACAATGAGATCTGTACATGAATTGGGAAATAAAAAATTGCTTATATAAAATTAAAAATCAATAGTATACAATATTTACAGCTTGTTAGGTATTCTATATAAAGTTTTTTAAATAATCAAAATTAAACTGTATTATGTAAACATGCAATACACATACTCATACAGTGCAGCTTACAGTCTTAACGGGGGAAGTGGTGTTCACATAATGCAGGGTACTTCATCAAATATGCTCTGCTTTTCTGTGTTACCCTCCAATGCTTCTTCCTCCCATCTTTAAGCTTCACAGTACATTTAATATATTTCTATAGTAAAAATAAGTCCCTGATGATAAACGTATTTCTAAAGGTTACATACATAAAGTGTCTGCCCCATACTACAATATAAAACTAACACTGTTCACACTAGGATCCCTAAAACTAAAAATTTAAATGGCTGACTCCATTTTCATACTTTCTTGGAATAGGAAAAAAATAGAGGAAAATGCCATATCATGAGAACATAATGAAAGTAGTTGTCATCTGTCATAGTCAGTGGCTAAGTAGCTGATTTGTACTGAACCATAAGAAGTTAGTAGCTAAGACCTGTTTCCATGACACCCTCCAAACTCTGGATCCCCACAGTCACGGCTGATGTGTACACAGCCAACTCAACAGTGCCAATCCTGACTTCTGCAAGATCCACGCTGCAAAAGGATCTTAACTTTCAAGGCACTAAGGCATCATTCAGCTTTTAAAAATGGTACTGTGATTTAACTAGCTGGTTTTATCTTTAAACACCTGCCAAGTAAACTATATTGTTGGTACTTCAATGAAGACCTTTCAGCTAGTTAACTAAGATAAAGTTGCTTTCAAAACGAGAAGAGTCAAGGGACAATACAGTAGGAAGATATATGAACTTACGAGTTATAAACTTAAATGAAAAATACTATGGAATTTCCTATCTGTTCATCTAAACATGTAGACCCTCTGTGGGAAGGTGTGTGGGGGTTTGTTGGGGAGACAGTCATAACATTTTTAATTCCTCCATATTAAACACACCTAATATTACAAACACGAAGAAAATGTGAACAGTTAAGATTACCAACTCAACCAGTACTGAAAGTAACCCATTTTTTCCTACTCAAACAAGTATAGATTCTACTTACTTGTTATGGAGAAACTTTAAAATGTCCCAATCCCCAAAAAAATTCAATGATGAAATCTATGTATTTTAAATTTTTTAAAAACAAAGCTTTCCATTATCAGTAGTATTTTCAAGCTAGTATTCATTTAAATGGGGTTTTAAAAGCAGTGACGGTCTTTAGGAATTACCAATTTATATTCAGGAGGAAAAAGTTGTGGTCACGGGCTTCAGATGATCATGCATCTCTGTCTCTCTTCCTATACCTTTATGGCACACTGCTTTCTAGTTTCAGTTATAGACCTGAAGATATTTCCAGAAAACAAGACAGGCACATTGCTACTCACGGTACACACATGAGCATGTGATTATGGGTATGTGCACAGTGACACACACACTTTGCACGAGTGCTGGAGACAATCTAAAATAAAAGACCTTCATGCTGTCCTGACTTGCCTACAGCTGTTCACTTTCCAAAAAGATAATGGCTGCGTAATCACAGGTGTTGAAAATTCTCTTCTGAATCAGCACTCCAGCTTTTATCAAAAAACTGTACATGTTTAAACTATAATGTAGGACATCTGTTTGAAGGATGAAGGGCTTTACATAAACTGTCAAATTAGTTCTTAAAATCAAGGAAGAGTTATTAGGTAAAGAGTAAGATCAGCACATCTGCAATGAATACAAAGAAAGTGAATCCCCTAAAGTCAGAGGGAGATGATTACAGGTCATATAGCTCGGTTCACTCAGAAATTTGAGTGCCGACACTAAAGTAATAAAAGAATTCACCAGTAAGTTTCCATGTTTAGTGAAAATACTTCATATAATAAATATTATTTCCCCCAAATTCACAGCTATGTTTTGAGATAATTCAGCAATCTTAAAAATAGCACATTTTCTCTAACAGAACAGAGATGCTCAAATTAGAATTGCAAACCTACAATCACACATGCACAAACCCACACGCACATGCACGCATGAAAGACTTCAAACACGCCATGGTCAGGGCGCCCATGTGGAAGGAACACAGCACTGTGTGAATAGGCGGGATGCACATCTGCACCACGTCCCGCTCGGCACAGCAGAGGGAGCCCCGTTGTTGTCACACCCAGCACCCTCAGCAGCCCTCACATTTCTCCTCGTCCTTAAACTTCCCTCAGCTACAAAATGGTACCACATTTGAAAAATGTTCAGATTTTTAATCCAGTGGTGTTCCTTTCACCTGGAAGAGTTCTAAAAGGGTGAGGAATAAAGGGAGAGTACCAGACCATTTGATTACTAGTCAATTTTCATCACTCAGTCTCCATCCTGCTTATTAACGCAAACAGTAATTTACCTCGTTACCCAACATATACACCAAACGTTTCTGCAACTGAAATCTAATTCTAATTTTTTTCAGTAGCTGTTCATGTCCCTCAGACTCTGTACACTATGTTGAAAGAGATTCTGTTTGAGGCTTTCTAGGAGAAAACTGTTAGAGAGAAGTCATCTGTGAATACTTTGGAAAGTGCTCTTAGCATCATGTTACTTCCTGAATTATAAAATGGGCACATATCTAAAATAAGAGCATTGCCTTTGGTGTTTAAAACCAAAAAAAAACAAACTGCCCCCCCCACCAGGACCTGGCCCATGGGCAGGACGCAACACTGACGTCCAGCTCCAAGTGCCTAGCAGAATCGGCAGTGCAAGACAGCAGACAAATGGTGGATGTGTAGGGGAGAGAAGGCTGCATCTTACTCACTTCTCCATCTCTAAAACCAAGATAATAATCTGTGCATAACATAGAGCCAATAAGTGTTCTGAGTGAAACAGGTAGGAAATGGTAAAGTAAATACTGCCCGCTTCTGTTCTTCCTGTGACCAGGGGTAACTGGAACCCATCATTTAACCCTGGCTGCCCTGCCATGCTGATCCGCACCAATGCCCAAAGTGTTCTCAGATAAATGCCTGCTGATTTTAAAATAAAGGGGTAGGGAGGAGGTGAAGAAAATAAGATTACAAGAGAACTGTTTTAGTTTTTTTCTTAAATAATGTAGGGAAAATGTGGAAATGGAAGAAGAGTAAATTATATAAGTCAACTGCTAATGTGAAATGTAACTTTTAAAATATTCTGGTGACTACTAATGGTCTGCTGTAGTTATATATCACTTTGCCATCCATATATATTCTCATAATGATGATATGAAGTGTCATAATTTCACAGATTATGAACCGAAGCTCTGAGAGTGACTGCCTGGAGTCAAGCCCGTCCCTCTGCAGCCCAACACTCTTCACCCTGTCGCAGGACTGACACGTCGGCTAGTGAAATTCCATTTAGTGGCTGTAGTGGGAAAATCTGAATGGAGTGGGGTCAGAACCTGAACTGCTGAACAAAATCGGGAAACGAAATGCTGTCCAGTCTTTTCAGGGTCTAATTGTTCTGCTAGCTCTTAGTGGGCTCGAGGGCAGAAGGCTCATTTTAGTCCTCCTTGTTTCAGCAACAGCCAGCACTCTGCACAGCACTGCACACAGGCCAGCTGGAGGAAGTGTGCACAAAGCCGAGGTAGCCGGCACCGCCGTAATGGCAGGCTCATGTTCCTCATCTTACTGCGAAATTCTTCGACTCTTTTCCAACAACGTTCTTTAATTTGAAATCATCCCTGTTCCTTATCACAAATAGCAAATACACAAGCCAACACATTGGGTTGGAGACTGTAACACTGCTCGATAAACATTAGGATCTAAAGTAACAAGCTGCATGCAATGAATACACCATGGTTCAGAACTTTCCACAGCAATCCACTGGCCTGCCGGGTAGGCAGCTGCACTTCCTTCTTTTAAAGGTTTTAGGTACTGTTTGTAGCTTTCCTGAGGCCTCCTTGGCTAACTGTGCTCTACTGACATTTCTAACCAGATGTTACCCAATGACTCAGGGCAGCTAGGAGTTCCTTCTTTGGGAACTGATTTCACCATCAGCAGTATACTGCTGAACATTTTTAAAGCACTTTAAAGTGTCAACTGCAGAGGATTCCTTCACTACCTATTAGCACTTATCACAAAGAAAATTTACTGCTAAATCACATACAAATTTTAAGAAAGCACAGCCCAATGATGACCACATGGGCTCTTCTCATGTCCCAAACAGGGGTCTCCCACTCTAGTACACCAAGAAAAATTTCCCCAGATAATGTCCAACATCTTCAAAACTATTTAACAGACCATTCAACCAAACAAGTATATCAAATTCACTAACATCAAAGTGTTCATTAAACAAAAGTTTCCAATTGGAGTGTATCCATATATAGCTCTCTATATATGTTTATAATGATATATATGTATGTACATATATAACATTAAACAGGAAAACCACTAACTTTAAAAAACCTCAGCATATAAATAGCTATTAAAACAACTGATAAGTTAATACTATACAACTACGTTTCAGATATCAGAAGAGTGACAGATGCACAGTGTCTCAATGGGAAGAACTGAGAGCAGCAAAGAAACCAAAACTGTTCACCTAAATATTAAAGTATACAAATGACTCTTAATTTAAATCAACTTAATACTGGCTTAGCTGCAGGGCACTCTATAAGCTAATTATTAACCACCCAATCACATTTTCATCCTAGAGTAAAAATGAACAGAGTTCAAATCTCTCTGGTCCATAATTCATATATTCAATGCATCCAAGTTATTTTTTAGATTATGAACCATATGTTCCATATTATCTACGATGATAACTTTCATAAATCAAAAATAATCGTATGTTAAATATTCAGCTATATATCTGAAATAATTTCCACGTTATTGGTAACTCCCCTGGAAGAACACAAATGTTTTAAGTTATTGATAGAACAGCCAAAGTAACAGAACACAATTAAAGTTCACCAAAAAAGGAGAAATCAAACTAACTTGAAAAAGTTACATCTAAATTTAATATAAGGAAACATCAGGAATATAAACAACACATGAAAAATAACAGGCTTTTACATTATAAAAGAATTAAATTTAAGATTTACCACAAAGATCTCTAAGAACACACAGCTGCTAATTCTTTAAATAAGTTGCCAAGCCACAATATTAGTAAATCCCTAAAATGGTCTTCTATGTATGGATCCCCTTCTCAATGCCTCAGTTGATATATTGATTTTGGAATAGTATTTGAAATTTCATGGGATCTATAAGAAACCTACTTAAAAAAATAAAATCAGGTTAAACAAAAAGGCTAGGGTATACGATTATTTTTTGAACTCTCCTTCACTTCTTTAAAATGGTTCTTCCCTTGAGTTAGCACATTTATAACTGCAAATGGTGCCCCAAAAAAGTCTTGAATAGAACGATTCCACCAGGGTTTGTGTTTTACCTACTTCGTGTATTCTTATAACCAACTATATATTACCAAAACTTCTTAAAATGTTTTACACAAAGGACATTTCCATTTTTAGAAGATTCTAGTAAACTGAAATCATAACTTCTCAATTTAAATAAGCTTAGAATTGAACAGTATACATTAAAAACTGAAACGAATCACTTGTGTATATGTTCTGTACTGCATTGATATGCTGAGATTGACAGATTTTAAAATTACTTACTATACTTCCCAGTTATTAGCAGAATCATGACACTGCCACAAATCCAAAGTAAGACATTTATTATTCTTCCTATGTAACTTACTCATTACTTATCTACAAATGAAACTTTTTACTTCCAGAGCCTAATTTAGGCCACTCTTTAAATACAGTTAACACTCCAGAATGAAAGATAGTTTTGTCAAAAATCAAGATGTATAAATAATCCCACTATCATATTAATTATAAAGATGGTTTCTCCATGAGATACAAAGCAAAAGCTTTCTTCAGAAGGGACAAAAATATAACATGCATCCCAGACTTTTTCCTTACAAAATGTGTAAGAAAAATTTCAAATTATATTTTATGACATAAATGACAACCAGTGTGTGTGTAACATAACATTTCTGAATTCATATGAACAGTATTTACGTACGAGGGAAACTATTAAAAGGGTGTAAGTGAAAAGTATGCACCCTATAGATCTAATTTGAGTCCTTAAAATGCTTTAGCTAGTCTTCCATTAAGAAGATTATTTTTCACATAAGTTAAGTAACAATAATGCCTAAACATACTAAAACCCTAAATCCCAGAGATGCTCAACATTAAAAATCAAGTAATTTTTCTCACATGAAATGATTCAGTACTCAGCACTCACACGGGATTTAGCATTACAAAACAAAGTCTTACTCCATTACCTGAATTCATGTCAAATATGTTCACAGCACTCATCTACAGCTACACTTGCAAATCATCACATGATCAATGTGAACAGAAAGGGAAGAGTTTGGCACAAGTATCGATACCTCCGAACGTCCCTGGAACTCAACACGGCACTGTTAGGAACGACGATCTGAACGCCAACGTCAACCCGACTGGCAGCTAAGCAAGGTGCTCTCTCTCGTGGGTTCCATGGTGTCTCGGTGCACCTTGCCCGGGACAGAGGCACGTGAGGTGCAGGGCGGTAGTGCAATCGCTTCAACACCAGAGGGCTCTCTCTCCACACAGCGCGAGGTCTTCCTTAGGCTCTGACTGGCTCTGGCCACTTTCTCGCCCAACTTCGTTTCCAGCTGCCAACAACGCCGTTTTCAGGAAATCTGTACATCTGTTTTCTTATATGAAATACAACATTCCCTCAGAAGCCTCAGAGTGTAGCGAGGATCCTTGAGAAGGAGATGATTAATGTCAATACAGTCTGCCCGACGCCCCACACCAGCGCTTCCAGAGGGGCCATGTTCTTGCCGGCCACTCGGTAGATGCCTGCGACCGCTGCACCTGCAGGGAGACAAAGCACAGCTCGCTGTCCACCGCACGCACGCATGCAGGCCACGCGCGGGGCGGGCACCGAGCGTCCACCTCCACTCGCTCGGCCCCCAACGCCCAGTCCCTCGCCGCGCTCTCGTTGGGCACATTTTCCCCGGCTTCCGTGCAGCCAGTGCAAAGTAATCTTTACTTCACATCTGACCACTTTATTGAAAAACTGCCTTTTCCGTTCAATTAAAAGTCCAAACTGAATATAATGTAATTCCAAGTCTGTTAACAAGATAACCCGAATAAAGAAAGGAAACGCTAGCTAGGCTGCCTGGACCCCGGGTGCCTGCGATGCTGTCAGTTCCAACTTCCCGTATTTACATAAAGAGCCTGGTGCTACAGCTCCACTTGCAGATTAAAATCCATTTTCCACCACTCAGCAGCTCGTTACACTGAATCACTTAACCTCTTCCACCTTATCTGCTCAAATACAAAGCGGATGAGAGTGCAGACTAAGAGGTGAGACCGGCTCTGCTTAGACAGCGGCCAGTCCTAGTACACATCCCACACTTTGGCCAGAGGTCTGTGCAGTAAATGCTAACAGCCGCTCCAGTCGGCAGTTACCACTCAACAAACGGTGCCAGAACAACTGAGGAGCCATCTGGAAGAAATAAATTGATGTCTCTATTTCACACAATTTCCTACAGTACATTTCAGGTGGATTAAAGAGCTAACTGCTAAAAATAAAGCTATAGTTACAATATAAGCAAATGTATTTAGGATCCTATGAGAGATGACCTTAAAACCACAAAAGAAAAAATTCAAAAGCTTTGCAAGGCAACATAACAAAGTATTATATGTGAAATGAACTGAATACCAGCACGGACACACACACACATGCACTAGAACAAATACACATGCAGTAACTGCGGCAGCATTCGCTACAATCAAAACCACTGTCCATTAGCTGGAAACAGGTAAAGTATATAAAGTCCATAACATGGAATGCATACAACTTCAAAAGGAAAATACATATTTTTATGAGCTGACACAGAAAGAAGTTAAAATATATCATTGATGGAACAAAGAAAACAAAACATAAAGTAATACGCATTCCCTGACAATAAAAATACATGTATGTGTACATATATGTGGTATGTACATATGAGTCAATGCAATGCACGCACAAAAACCAGGGGACAAACACTAAACTCAAAGCAGGGCTTACTTCTGAGCAGAACACTGGCTCCAGAGCGCTAAAGCAACTACATCATCGGTGTTTAAAGTTTGCAACACATGTGTAACACCAAGGCAGGATGGTAATTAACAGGAAACAGCCGAGTGCGTGTACTGGAACCCTTTATACTATCTGCAAACCTAAAATACTCTGAAAAGAAAGTACTATTCGAAAACAACACAAAAAAGTTTTCTATACAAAATACAGTGGCATATTATTTATATAAGTTAATTTTAAAATCTAATTTAATTTTGTATCTAATGTGCCTAAACTTCCTTATACAACTAAGAAGCTTTCCTTTTAAAAGCCAAGATATCTTTTCAACCTATTATTGGAACAAAAATCACTGTATATGATGACAAAGTTCAGTAAACTTATGTTGGGCAGGGAATAAATATATTCCAAATACACCACTGCTTATTCATTCTGTGGTGTGTCAGTTGTCTGAGTCATTGCCCTGACTGGATACGGAGAGTCTTGAGGTGGTGGCCAGGTCCACAGCGGATGAGGCTCCTGATGTTAAGATCTGAACGTGCTAGGAGAGGGGTCCCTGGAGGAGGAGGTGGCATGGCTGTGCCTTTGAGGGTGTGTCTCTTCCTGCTGCCATTTAGAGAGCAGGTGTGCTCTACCATCCCTCAATCTCACACCCACCAAGATATTCCAGCTTTGCAACACACTGAAACCTCTGAATCGTAAGCCAAATTAAACTCTCCTCCTTCAAGTTGCGAGTGTCAGGTGTGGTCCCAGCAAGGGGAAAGCTGACGTATACATCCTGCTGCTGACTGGTTTCCAGTCCTTGACAGCCTGATTCATTGCCTCTATGAACATTCTTGTACCCCTTGCACACAGAAGCAGCCACAAGTAGCTCCATGATCCATGGGTAAAAGTAGAAATGCTCAGCCCTATGCTATGGGCACTTTCAACTTTACTAGCCAATCTAAATCGTTTTTCTAAATTAATTCTACCAACTTAGGTTCCAGTTAAGGAACATCCTCAGAAGCAGTTGATATGAGATGTTATTTCTATGATCATTTATAATTCCCTGATAAAGTGATTGAACTTTGCTTCATATGTTATTAGCTATCAGATATTCTAATCTATAAAATGCTCATCAAATTTTGTGTCCATTCTTTCTACTGGGCTGTCTTTTTAAGTCACTTTTCTCGACACTGACAAAATAACCAATATCCACAACTAAAAGGAGGAGAGGTCTGCATTAGCTCAAGTTTTAGTTCCGACTGCTGGCTCTAAGGCAAGATGGCATGGCACAGAGGTAGGGTGGAGGAAAAGCTACTCAACTCATGCCTCTCAGGAAGCACAGAAAGAAGGGTGGAGCTGGCAGGGCAGACAAATCTTTCTAGGCAATGCCCCCAATGACCAGCTCCTCTGACCAGGCCCTACTTCCTAACAGCAAGTCAAGTACAAGCCTCCATACTCGCCTCTCCTTCCAAATGCCCCGCCTATGAACGTCTGAGGCCCTGGGGGGACATCCAGATATGAACCACAACACTGCAGATTAAATATGGTTCACTTCCTATGCTTGTACGGCATGTGAGCTGGGAGCAGTCTGCACATCTTTAAATGATGGGAAAGAAACTAAAGACTTTTGTGATGCATGCAATGTAAACTTCAGTACCCACAGGTAATGCTGTATCGGAATACAGCTGTGCTTATGTCTGACACTGAGCTCCCTTCGCAATCCAAGGGTAACATTCACACAGTGAATGAGCCTCTACTTCCTGTTCAGTAACACGTTTGCACTTGTTTTAGGAAAATAAGCTGTGTACTACTTGCACTCCTATTTTCTTGTATCATTATTTCTTCTATTTATTTATTTAGGTACTGGGAATCCAACTCACAACCTCATGCTTGCCTGGCAGACACTACCCCACTGAGCTATATATCTCCAGCCCTGAACTAATTATTTAAAATTTGAGAGACCTAATCTGTAAAACCCAAATGGATAGGATGTTTTCGGACAAAGTGTCTATAACATTTCTTTAAAAAATAATTACTGTTCTAGTAGAATATTTTCACAGGCCAACTTTAATATTTTATATTTAGAAATACAGAGGTATTCATAAAACTGTTTCATTATAATTCTTTTGTTTTATCTTTATTACTGAATAATAGTTACTTCTATTATAGTTACTTCTATTCTACTTTACTTTTCTTTTTGCCTTCTTTTTTAGTTTATCAACAATCTATTTATCTCAACTCTCCAAATAGCTGGGCTTTTTGTTAATCAGCCATAAGGACAACTTGCAAAAGTTATAATAACTCTCTGTATCAATAAGACTAAACATTATACTCAAAAAGATGCCATATACAACAGTTTTAAGTGTTCAGGAATTTAATAAAAAATATATACAAATCTCCTATGAGAAAAATACTTTAATAAAACACAAAGATGATCTCAATAAATAGACATACATACACTGGTGCTCACTGGCGGCAAAATTTAATATACCAGGGGCTGGGGATTTAGCTCAGCGGCATAAGCGCCGGCCTTGAAAGCAGGCAGTCGTGAGTTCAATCCCTGGTACCGATAAAAACGAAAAAGCCAAAAAAAAAAAAAAAAAAAAAAACGTTAAAAAAAAAAAAAAAAATTTAATATACCAGTGAGTCCCAAATTCACCTCCATATTCAATTAATTCTGAATAAAAATAACTCATACTTTTCGAGAAGCCAGTAGACATATTCTAAAATTTACATGAAATAATAAGGTTCAAAACTAGCTTTGCTACGTATGAAAAGAAAACTAACAGTAAGGACCTATCCCTGATAGATAGTAAGACTTATTGCATAACTGTAGCCCAAGACAACACTGGCCCCGCTGTAACATAAGAAAAGATCAACAAATTCAAACAGTTCATACAGATCCCTGTACCTTGAGAATGCAAAATCAATGAGGAAATGAGGGAATTTTTAATGGATGGTATGGTAAAGATTGACTCTATGGAAAGGGAAAAAAAATCCTACCTGGAATCCTGCCTAACCCGAAGTCAAAGGAAGACTCTGGACTGGGGGTAAGCTGTGCTCTGTTTTGGCAAGATCCTATTTTTACTGGAACAAGTCATAGTTACCCTTTCTGTATGCCTCTGTCTGCTCTTGTGCTATAATGGCAGAAGGGAATAGCTGCGACTGAGGCCACTGGTGTACAAAGTCTAAAACGCACTCTGGCCCTGTAAGAAAGTGTTTGCTAACTCCTAACCTAGATAAACTGAAGAACTTACTGTAAAACTAAAATTAACAGTAGGAAATACATCAGGATTTCTTTGGATCTTGCTAAGAGAAAGAACTTAAACAAACCCTAACTAGATTATAAACCACGATGAAAAAACTTCTTTCAGCTGATTATTCTCAAGTAAACCATTTCGACTCAGTAAATGACACCAGGGATGAAGTAACTGATTAAAGACTAAAAGGAGTTATTTGCAAAGTCCAAGGCCAATAAGAGAACAATCTCTAGAACATGAGAAACACCTGTAATTTAATAAGAAAGAAACAAAAGCATTTGAAGAAAATCACAGATTTAAAGAAGTGAAGGGCAGAAAAAAAAAGCTCCATGTATGACAAGCACAGGAGGAGATGCTGCCCTCACAGTGCAGTGGGAATGCAAAGGGACCAATACTGAGGTGCCACGCTACACGTGCAGTATGGCTGAAGCCAAAGCACCAAGGTTAAACGTATCTGGAAAGAACTTGGTTTATACCAGTCTGCCATGAGTTACCAGTACAAAACAAAATGAGAAGAGACCACTTTTTTTTGGAAATGAAATCTCAGAGGCAGCAAATATAGACATGCACCAAACTATATCCAATTAGCATCCTATTGAATATGGATACTCACAATTTCGTCTGCTGAATGAATAGACAGCTAATGTGCATCCACAGATAGCTATGAGTGACCCAGTATGCACAACTTGCTTTAAGAAAATAAACACAATTAAATATTCATGTTTATTAGTTTAAATTTGTCTTTCCAAGTCACAGAATTAGTGAGAAAAAATTTAAATATTTTATTAACGTGGGAATAAATTTTTCCTTGAAATTGTGTCAGACACATATTTTCAAGGATTTTAAGATAGAACATTGCAGTTTCTAAAATCACTGGCTTATTTTATCCTTGACTAAGTTAAAGTGAGACATATATATATATATATATATATATATATATATATACACACACACATACATATACATATACATATACATATACACATATATGCGTATCATCAGAGATAAATGGAAGAATTACATTTCTCTCACTCTTCCAAGTTTTTAATGCATACACAGGCAGGCTGCTCCTATGCCCTTCCACCTCTGTGCATGGTTCCAACAGTCTCCAGTAATAGTCCCTTGGAGCTTTCTCTGAAAGCTACCACAGTTGAGTTATAACCAATTCGGATGCTTTGTTCTCTGTCACAGTCCTTACATCAATTACTTCCTATGCAGCCCACAGCTAATACTCTAGATCAAGTATCAAGCTCAAAAGCTAAACTAAGCATGTAATTCTTACTTTTTCCTTCTTGCCCCTCTCCATTCTTTCCTTTATTCCACTTCATTCTATCCTTTCATCCAAACAAGACTCTTTGAGCATCTATTATGTTCCAAGTACTGTTTCACTGTTGGAGGTGAAGTGGTGATAGACAAAGTACCTGCTCTTTCTGAGTTTTCTCTTGGTTCTTTACCTATATTCTCTGTTCAACTGTAAAACAGATTTTCCCATTGAACTGCTCTGTCTCTGGCCCTTCCCCACTCAAAAGTAACCTACGTTTTTTCCATGACCTGCAAAATCAAAGTCCAAACCTTCTGGCTGACCTGCTAAGCCCTGCTAGAATCCAGGTTCACTCTCTCCAACTGAATGCCTGAGGCCCCAGCACGAATATCCTGTGCTTCTGCTAAACCTGCATCTTTAAAATCCCATCTGTCAGCTGGGCGTGGTGGCACACTCCTATAATCCCAGCACTTGGGATGCTGAGGCAGGAGGATCACTGCAAGTTCAAGACCAGCCTGGGAAACAAAGTGAGCCCAAGGTCAGCCTGAACCCACATAGCGAGCCCTGTCTCAAAAAGATAAAACCCCACCTATCACAGAATGAGGTGCCGCTAGGCTAAATGCAGACAGGACAAAAGCACCTACAAAACTTAATACAAGGTAGCATAGAAAATCCAAATAGCAAATAAGCGAAGGTTTATCACCTTGGTGCCAGGGAACATACCCAGTGACATGGAAACAGGACTCTCCTCTCAAGGCAAGTAATGTCAGTCATCGTGGGGCAAGGGAAGGAGAGAGCCCTTGAACTCTGAAGATAAAAGTCTTTCCCTTAACTTTAGGCAGCCATTCACAGAAAGGAAGAAGCCCTTTACGCAGGGCCCCAAACAGATGCAGGGGCAGCAGTGACTGTCCAGACATATGGAAGCGGGCCAGCAGCAAATGCAGTGCAAGCCTCTGTTGTTCAGTGGGAGGACAGAAGGAGGAGCACCACAGAGAAGCGGGCAGCTGCTGCACAATCGCGTTAAGGGCGCAGCTGTGGCCCTCTCCAGGCTCAACAGGACACAGCCAAGCTCTGCTCAAGTAGCAGCTGCAGAAACCAGGACTAACTCTGTGAAGGCAAGGCTGGAGCAGGGGCCCAACCTCAAGGTTAAGGGGAGAAGGTCAGAGGAACAGACCTAGAGAGCTGTGAGAAAGTGCGAAAGGCAGCACAGGAGAGGTACCTGCAGGTCCTCAGAGGACCCTCTAAACTGACTGAGTTCCTACAGGCCAGAAAAACTGGTGTCAAAACTATTTGTGTACAAATGAAATACAAAGGATCTAAGAGAAATATTTTCACTTTTCAAATGACAATTATCATACTTTTGTGCCTATTTTATTAGATAATGAGTGACATTAAAAGCAGAAAGTACATTCACTGTAGGATAAATTTTCCCATTGAACTTGCAGATTTTTCTATTTACCATAAAAACTTGCATAATGACAAGTACCTGGTCAATGAGTAAACTACCATTTCTACACAGAGCTGACAGCTGTAAAGTGCTGAAGAATATTCTACATGAAAAGTCAATCTAATGTTACATTATAGATAGTAAAAAACAGTTACCAATATAGCAAGGGCATAAAAAACTGTATCCTTGAACAAAACCAGATCAACTCACTAGTAATCATCGCTCCGGTTACAGAGGCCAGAAAGCCAATGCTGACCGCGATGACGGAGATCACTCTTCCATGCCTGTGTCTCTGCAGCATCACAAACATCAGCACTCCTGCAGCACCATGGACAAACAGGGAGGAGAAGAGAGCCCAGAGGAAGATCCAGTACCACATCTCTGAAAGGGAAAGCAAAGCATTAATCAGTCCACTAAGACCCACCTTAGAAAATACAGTTAAAAAATAGGAGCACTTGTGACGGGGAAGTTAGACGAGAAAGCACCTGCAAGGCCTAGCACGGTCCCTGACAGGCGATAGAGTTAAGTCACGGCAATCATCGTCGGCAGGGCTCAAGGGGAAAAATTCTCTCCACATTTTCAGAAAGCGAAGGCCACATTCTAATTCCCTCTACGAGTCGTCATTATTTGATTATCTCCATCCCTCAACTCCCGAACCCATACAATCTGCAAATTTCTTGGAATTAATTATAAAAGCTTATTCATTTCCATGTGATATAAACTTTCAAAATTTTTTTACATGAGGCCAGGCACGGTGGCACATGCCTGTAATTCCAGCACTTGGCAGGTTGAGGTAATAGGATCACTGCAAGTCTGATACCAGCCTGGTCTACAAACCAAGTTTAAGGCCAGCCTGAACTGCATAGCAATACCCTGTCTGGAAAAAAAAACCTTTACATGAAACAGTAGCATTAAGATGTTTTTAAAAACTGCCTAACTCGTTTCAGAGATCGGTCAATGATTTTTATCTGTTAAGACTTTAAGAATTTCATTCAATTTCCCTTATGGCCCTTAGCCTAACATATTGCAGGTGTTTTTTTTAATTTATTTTTATTTTTTATTTTTTTGGTCTTTTTGTTTTTATTGGTACCAGGGATCAAACTCACGACTGCAGGCTTGCAAGGCAGACGCTTATGCCGCTGAGCTAAATCCCCAGCCCCATTGCAGGTGTTTTGACTTGTTTTGCCTCTGGTCATCCTAAAGTTCTTCCCTAGAATTTTTCCAAATATATTCTTTTGTTTAGTGTGTATTCCATCAACTGTTTACTGATGTTCAGTTCATCAACAATGGCAAGCACTACTTTCACTGTCTCTCTCTAGTACTCGGTCTGTTTCTTCAGGGAGCTGCTGCCTCCCAGTCAGTCTGCACATTTCCCTATGTCCCTACGTAGACTCTCTCCTCCTGGACATACTTGCGATGCAATTATTCTACGCTGGGCCAATCATTCTCTTCCTTTGAGAAATGTGGACTGGGACCAACTGAGTCTCTTTGGTGTTTGTGTAGCTGAAGCAGAAGCCACCTCTATCGTACTATGAAAGCCACAATGCAGGAAAAATAGATCCACCAAAGACTAGTGAGAACCAAACCCCTTATTCCAGTGATTAAGACCTATTACATTAAAAATCCCCCTTTTATTTAAACAAGTTCCAATAAGGTTTCTGTTACTTGTAACTGAAAGAGCTGATTCCAGAAAGGCATAGCTGTGCTCCTGAGGATTCTTCTTGGTATACAAACACTTTGTAATGCACAGTATCCCATCTGTTACATACACTAAAGTGTCAGCCTGTCCAGTGTAGTGACACAGTCATTAAATAAAAGAGCACAAAAAAGTTAAAACAGGTTTATCCAAACATCATTAAGGTATGATTATTTAATGTTTGTGGGATTTTAAAATGGTGCAGCTGCTCTGAAAAGCAGCATGACAATTAAAAAAAAAAAAAACCCCACCAAAAATAGAATTATCACATGATCCAGCACTTTTACTTCTGGTTATATACCTCCAAAAAATGAGTCTCCAGGAGACACAGTCTAATCATGCTCATAACAGCATTATTTGCAATAGCTACGGGACAAAAGTAACTGGTGTCCCTAAACAGATGAGTGGATAAACAAAACACTGCATATATATATAAAATGCAAATGTTTTAAAAGGGAAGGAAATGTCACGTGCTACAATGTGGAAGAAACCTTGAGGACAGTGTGCTCACTGAAACACAACAGTCACAAAAGACCTAATACTGATTCTGCCTATATGAGGTACCCATATAGTCAAATTTATGGAAACAAAAAAATAGAATAATCTTTCAGGGGTTCAGAAGGTAAGAATGAGGACCTGTTGGATCTAATAGGGTAAAAATTTCAGTTCTGCAAACTTCAAAGAATCTGGAGATCTACTGTAAAATAATGCCAATATACTCAACATTTACTACACTATACACTTAAAATGCTAATTTTTGTATGTTGTGGCATAAAAACAAATACATCTAGCTTTTAATCCCTTTTTACAGAACTCCTAAAATCCTTACAATTTCCTGACAGTCAGAGGTGTTTTTGTTATTTGTAATGAGTCTCTTCTGATTATACTTGAGCTTATACTAATGAAGTTCCACACTGGGGTGGGAGTTTCTCCAGGGGGCACAGGGCTGGAACTCTCACCCCATCACCTCTATTTAAATAAAGTAAAAGAACGTAAAGCATGAGTATAAATTTAAAAATAGTTCTTTAAGTCAATATCATAATGACAAAGTTAACAACAAAAACTGTGTTTAAAATATGAAGAGAGGGAGCTGGGGATTTAGTTCAGCGGCATAAGTGCCTGCCTTGCAAGCAGGTAGTCGTGAGTTCGATCCCTGGTATCAATAAAAACGAAAAAGACCAAAAAAAAAAAAAAAAAAAATGAAGAGAGGTATTAAAAAGGGCAATAAAAGAGCTCTTTTATCACAAAGGGACTGCTGTGTAGTGAGGCTGTGGTTGTGTGTACCACACAAAATTGCACAGAACTAGACACACACACAAATGAGCACAAGCACACAAGTGATACTGGGAAAGTCTGGTAAGAATGGGAGGCTGAATCGTTGTCACTATCCTAGTTATGTGATAGTGCAGTTTTTCAAGGAATTTCCATTAGGCGAACTAGATAAATAATATACAGGCTTTCCACATATTATTCCTTAACTGCTGAATGTGAATGCTGCAGTTACTCCAAAATAAAAAATTTAACTTTAAAACAGGAAAGAGGAAATATAAAAAACTTTTTTAAAAAAAGTCAGCTTTATCTTGCCACCTTTGTAAGATTATTTAAGAATGAACTCAAATAGTATGAAGTTATTTCTTTTTTTTAAATTTTATTTAAAAGGAAAAAGAGAAAAAACAAAACAAAACAAAGCAGTGTAAGGGTACAAGTAATACAGAACTACAAAAAAAAAAAAAAAAAAAAAAAAAAAAAAACAGTAAGAAATCACCAGTTAATAGATTACACATTATCATCTTAGAGATAGTTGCTCAAGTCACAGTATCAAAGTATACAAAGTAAACATTCAAACAGAGAGACTACAAACAGTTGTGTTCAATGATCCAACCAAAAACATTAATATGGTCAGCTATTTAACACCCCTAAACACACTTGCAGTTGTATCCTTTAGAGTACTTTTTTTCCCTCTTTTTTACAACAAAATTTACACATTTTGGGTTTTATTACTCCTTATTTCTTATTACTTTTTTTTTTGGAAGAGAATAAAGTCAACTATGGCAAAACAAAGCTGTAAGTCAAAACCAAGGATAGACATAGTATATGATGTAAAAACAGAGTACAAGGTTATCAACAATGATTACCATAATGCCTCTTGCTTCCTTAAAAAGAATTATCTATCTCATTAGGTATTATAAAGTTGAACAAAACAGTAGAGAACAAGACCAATAAAACTTAAACATTGTAAACATTACAGGACTTCCAAAGGAGATAATAGTCAAACCAGAATGGGCATCTTAGTGAATCTTATTCCTTCAAAGTAGTTGCCTATACTCTCAAACTTGATAGTATCATACAGAATGGAGCAGAGTCTAATCAGTCAAAACAAAATAGTGGGAGTATTACAGGACTTCAAAACAAGTTAGTAGGAAATCAAAAAAAGTTACTATAATATATCCTGCTAATTTTTTAAATTTTTCCCCTTAATTAAAAAAAACCATAAAAAATAACTAATTAATTTTTTTAATGAACAAGGGAGAGATTGAGATAAAAGAGGACATAACAACATAACAATACAGGTCAAAGCATGACTGTTTCAGCAACCTAGTGCTTCACCACCAAATAACCCGACTTAATAGTAGTTACCATAGTGTCTGTCTTTTTCCTTGAAATATTTGAATATAACTAGTATGAAGTTATTTCAAAGAGGCATCTGACCTGTTTATTTTACAGGTGTGTTAAGACACCATGCAGACTTCTTGGTGGCACAAGATTCTGACACTGGTGATTAAGGAAAACAGAGTCCTAAAGCTTGCCTTTAAAGGGTTTTCTCTTCCAGCTTTCAGAGAAAGCTTTCCCATCAGGCTGACACTTCCAAACAGGTTCAATTTACAATAAATGCCTTAAAAATTAAAAACCTTAACTTGTTCAGCAGATATTTGTATATTAAAAGATACATTTTTCCAAAGTGAGCCTAATGAAGTGAGACTACAAGGATGCACTGACATGAAGGGTGAGGGAAGAGATTTTCATCATGGAGCTCTTTCCAAGTCTGCCTCTGAAGCAAGGCAAGACTTAACAGCCTGGCACTCTTCCTGCAATAAGAAACGGTAAGGATTTGCCACATATCCCAAGCCTGCTTATTAAAGCCTAAAAGATCTAGCCCTGCACCAGGCATTTTGTTTGTTTTTCTTGTAATACACTTAAGAGGAAATAATTTCTTGACTTTGTTTAATACTAGGAAACAGGCATAATCTGACATCATAAAAAATAGTACTGTTTGCCTTCTGAATATATGATTATGGACTTCAACAATAAACATATCTAGCAAAAAGGAAAAGCATATTTTAAGCTTAATATTTTACAAAAATTCAACACTGAAAAAAATCATGAACTAAAATGGAATCTTAAGTGATGACCAGTCCAGATTGCCTTTTAAGCAGACTGACCCTGGAACAAATGAAACCAAACTCAAGGTTATTTTCATAGTTCTTGCTCTTTTTTTAAAATGTGTATTATACTATTTATTGTGGAAACCACTGAACTCTGCCGAGAATATTTACAGCAGGCTTCATTTTATTACCATTATTTTCTTTTTTTTTTTTTTTTTTTTTTTTATTTAAGAGGAAAAAGAGAAAAACACAAAACAAAACAAAGCAGTGTAAGGTTACACATAATACATAACTACAAAAAA